ACGGGGACAGCTCTAAACACGCGGCAGAAGGTGCAGAGAACTCACACGCTGCGATTTCCCCTCAGCACGGCTGCGTTCCTCCTTGCCTAGGGGGGACACACAGAAGGGGCTCTGCAGGCGCTGGTGCCATCTCTTCCGTCCGTTCCTCCCTGCCCTGGGGTAGGTCTGTACAGCCTGGACCGGTCGCTGGTTACCGGAGTCTTGACCTGAGGGGAAACAAAGAAACAAATAAATCGGTCATTTCCCTTGATGGCATGATGAGTTACATACACTCATCAGCTCTTCATCATGCCAGCGGGTGCACAGTAAACTGAACACAGCCGGCTCGCCAGACACTTCCATCCACGCTATCACAGGAAACGGCAGAAATATTAAATCAGTAAGGCGGCCAACAACTGCTTGCTTTCATTAAATTTCAGAAATTTAAGAGGTTAAACTCTAAAAACCCAGACAACATTCCTGAAACTCTTCTGGAAGCCAGCCTACTTAACTAATGATACAAAATAATGTTAAAATAAAAAAAAAAAAACAACACAAAACACCCGCCACTCATACTGCATCTCATTTGTATGAGCTATAGGCTTTACCCAGAATAAATATTACCAGGAGATGAATAATTTATCTTGCTTTTTTTCTTTTTTTAAAACACAAGAACAACTCTGCTTGCTGCATTTTTGTCTCCTGATAACAAGCATGACTTTTTTTTTTTTTTCTCCTTTATCAGCTATTTACCAAACTACAGAGAACTGCATTTTATATCAATGAGATAACAAGTTGTTTAAACAACCAAGCTGCACCCAGCTCAGATTAAAAACCAAAAAGTTACCTTCTCTCTTAACTTTGCCAACTTTTTTTCTTTTTCTCGTTTCTCTACATCATTAGCTTGTTTTCCTACAATCCTGGGCTCCAATTTATGTAAATCCTGAAACATATAACGAATGGAAAAGCAAACTTTTATTTGGAAGTAAAACAAGTTGAATGAAAGTAAATATGCAGCCTTTTCACAGGGTTTTTTTTTTTTTGTTCTGAAATTATTTAGTCATAGTAGAGTTTGTCCCAAGAAAACAAATTACAGTCACACAGTTTTGGGTGAAAAAAAAAAAAGAGGGACTGCAATAGTTTAATCTCTGTTTACAAAAATAAAATGTGTGAATGCTGACAATAATATCGGTTCTCCAGTGATCACATTTACATTGATACGGGATTTAACTTGACCTTATAGCTACTGAAACCTGCAGGATCTTCAAACATTTTTTTATTTCATATCTGCATACAACACTCAGGTCTTCTGACATTTTCTACAGCATGGAAAGCAACGCAGCCCAAGCTGGTTTTCCCAAACACTTTCACATTGAAGTAAAAAAAAACAACTTCTATATGTAAAAATAAATATAGGTTTGAATAATCCTGTAGAACTTTGATATTGAGGAAAAGGAACATCTTTGTCTAAAATAAAGTTTCATACTGTTTCTTGTATGTAACAGATGCTGTTATCCATAGTGAATCAAAAATAATTTAAATGAATGAAACTTGGATTTTAAAAAGTGTTAACAAGTACACTGTAGGAGGAAGTAGGTGAACTTAAAACAACAACATGCATAAATGGAGATGTAATTACGCACATGCTTTTGAAACTTAGTAATTTCTTCTGCAGCAATTCTCTTTCTTTCCTCCTTTTCTGCTTCCTCTCTCTTCTCCTTTTCAGGCTTTTCAAGTTCCTCCTTCTCTTTCTTCTGCAAGGTATACCTTGCCAACAGTAACTTCGTGTGGCATTGGCGCTGGGGTTCTTTTAGTTGCTTTTTCTCCTTTTCTTCTAGTTTTAGTTGTGATGCTTGTTCCATTGCAAATGCTGTTGCTTTCTGCTTCTTCCATGCTTCAATTGCTGCTTGTTGTCTTTTTCTTTCTTCTGCTTTTTGCTTCTTTGCTTCTTCGCACTGTAGCCATTCTTCCTTGAGCATTTTTTCTGATTTCTCTTTCTCCTTCAGGTTTCGTTCTTTTTCCTGCTGCTGTTTTTCTTTCCACTTCTTAATTGACTGCAAGAGAACATCAGGAAAAAAAAAAAAAGTGGTTTGATGCAAATTTTACAGATTCCTGTTGATCCATTCTGATGAAAACATATGCCCAAGGATACAAATTGCAGATAGGAATTAAAAGCCTACTAAAGAAAAAAACTCAAGGCAAAGAAGCATCTATGTCTGCTTTCTCACAATTATTTTTTTCTATTTTATGGATCACACAGGCAGGTTTAACATGTGCCTGCTAAAGTTACGGCCTTCATATTAACTTTGGCTAGTTAAAAATGTTGGTGCAATATGCTTTTTTTCATGCAAACACATTTCAGGTCTTAAATTTTTTCTTCAAATCAACAATTCCACCTACTATTTTATAATTCAGTGTATCTATTAGTACTCAGATGGATAGTTCTGGAAGGAATCATAATTGTCTATGTTAGTATAGCAGAGGTATATTGCCTATATGGTGGGACAGACATTCTTAGGGATAGATATATCAAGAAGTGCAATTTCAGATAGGATCATTTACCACTCTGGACTGGCATCTAACTTGCTGGACCACTGCCGTCAAAAGCAGTTATAATATACTTTGGCAACACACAGCCCACTTCAGTGTGTTGTTAGGTCTAGGCTTATTGGTAATTCTTTAAAGACAAATATTTTTGGCAAGTTGAGAATTTTAGAGTTCAATTATATACCATGAACTATAACAGAAATCCACATAGCTCTACCACCAGAGAGGCAATTACAAAAATAACAAATGCTCGCATTTTTAAAATAACCACTTTTTCTTAAAGCTACAAAAGCCCTAGAGGGTCACTTTACCTCTTTCTTTCTTTCATGTAAAATCAGAAATTCTTGATACCATTTGCCATGCTGTTCAATATCTTCTTTTGTTCTTCCACAGAGATACTTGAGGGCCTCATCCACATAAGACAGCCTTCCTTTGTGTTTTGTCCATACTTTCAGAAAATTTTGATGATCATAGTCATCCCAGCCTCCTTGCCGCCCTCCTCTTTGCTGAAGAAATCTTTCAAACTCTACTACTTCTTTAGGTAGATTATTTTCCAGTTTTTTATCAACTGAGACCCTGGCTAATGGGAATTTCAAAACTCTTTCTGTTGTTGAGCTGTCTAATGCCCACAGTTCCACTTTTCTCTCAAAGACACTAAGCTCATTAATGGCAGTTTTTTCCTCCTTCAAAAGCTGTTCATATCTGAAAAGAGAACACTGAAATGTATGAAAGAAATCCAGTATTCATTGTTCATTCTCTGAAAGTGAATTTTGGAATTGTTCAATGCCACACAAAAGCTATTCTTCAAAGATTAAGAACTAAATGGTAACACAGATGACAGCACAGTTGTAATGAGCCCGTAATAAAAGCACTACACAATCAGAATTAGGTTACCGTTGTAGTGAAAGCACACATTTATGGTACTCAGCTAACTCAATCCCCTCCTGACATCAGTAGAGAGAAAGGAAAAAAAAAACCACCCACTTAAAAAAACCAAAACAACAGCAACAACAAAACCCCCCATAATCCACTATCTTCTGCAGCCTTTCTCTGAAAAACCTTTTCAGAGGAAAAACGATTGTTTCATTGGATCACTGCAATAGCTGTATGAACAGACTCTCCAAAAGGCTGTTTATCAAGACTCTAATGTTGATAACTTGAGTTCTGATTTACTTACCACAGGAATCACTACCAAAAGAGTGAATAAAAATAATAGTTTACTTGATTAATGCAAAGTTTTCACAGTGTCTTATGAAAGCACTTTTTCTTGTAGCTGAAGGATGGATGTATAAACATACATTTGCCTCTGTTCCTCTTTAAAAGCATTGATTGCATTTTCAACTTCTTCCATCAATTCCTTGAGCTTGTCAACAACTAAAAAGGAAAAGAAGAAAACAGAGTATCACTTAAGAACAGTTATTCAGAAATGTAAGTACTTGCATTGACTTCTGGAACACTTATTTCACTGTACAAATAAGCATGCATTTCTATCTCAAACAGCCATAAAATACAGACTCATTTATTCAAAAGGTGTGATTTTGCAGTGCTTTAGCTAACTGGATGTAAATATCAGTATAGATGTTTATTTCCATTAAACAAGTCTCCTGAGTAACCTTCAAATGATTCACAGAATAAGAGAGACTTATCCTAAAGAGTTTCCACTTTTGTTTTTTATAACAATTAGTGAGTTAAGTTAGTGACTTAAGAAGCACACTCAAATCTTTGGTTTATACAAGGCTGTAGCAATCCTATTTATCCTACAGGCCACTACTTTTATGAAGCTGACAAAGAAACAGCAAAGTAAGACTTTATCCTGTACTGTCAGCATGCTGTAGTCCTGATACAGAGAAATAAGGTTTAAGACAGCTGTCTAGACCTATTTTGCAATGGTAGAAAAGAAGTTGTAGAATCTGATTTAAACCAGCACAACATCTCTATGGACACATATGCAACACACTGTTTAACTAACCTGGCTTTAAAAAATAATAAACTACATTAGTACATTTTTTTCATCTAAAAGTCTTAGTTCAGCTTTCATGCCTTGTTAGTTCTTGGTATCTTTGCTGATACCGAGAGCTTAAGGAGATAATGCATTTTTTATAGAATAGACACTGAATGAATGAAATGAGATGCATTTTATTTAGCATCAGAAAGCTCTCAGCTAGTAGGACGGCTTGAACCTAAGGTCCACATGAGGTTGCAGAGTATCACAGGAGAATGGTTCTTTCAGTGCCTATTTCCCAAAAGTTTCAAAACATCCAAACTGAATGAGTTGTTTCAGCATTTTACACAGAATATTCCAACTTACACTTAAAGCCATGTGGACAGCCAGAAATGAGTGCCCTGTAGACCATACTCTGTGACCAGATGAAAAGGAGCTATATCTAAATGACACTAGAATACTAACTTTATTCTACATAAGGCAAAGAGTTGCATATAGAAAATACCTGGCTTTAACAGCCTGAAGAAACAAACCTACACCACTTCTACAGCAGAGTAAGTTTCTCTTTTTCCACACAGAACTACACAATCTTTCACCATTTCTTATATTTCTGCATTCTTCCTTTTCTAGATTCCTGGAAAAGGAGACAGACTGGAGAAGGAGTATCCCAAGTCTGCAGAAGAATGACAAGCCCAACTATGCAAGAAACCTGTCTGTAGAGAGAAATGTTTTTAAATCTGCCATCACTACTTACATTCTGGTGTAGGCTTCACATCTTTTAATTGTCGCTGAAGTTTCTTCACATTATTTTGTATTTCTGATAGCTGCTGCAGGATTTTAGTTTCTGTTAAACAAAATAAGGTGGTGATAGTTCTAACAGTTTCTTTGTGTATTAAATTCAACACAAGAACAAGAGCAATGAAGTGTCCAAAATAAACTGGGGATTTCATCTAAGCAAGGACACAAATTCTGTTTGATCATAAGAAACTGCCATAATAGTAAGCATTTTAACGTGACTTTAACTGCATGTAGCTGACTGCACAGCCATGCATCTCCACACAGCATCAAAAGATTTTTAAATTAGTAGCTATTTCTACAGGAGTCAACAGCATAGTCATATCTAGATTAAATCAGGTTTTGTTTTGTTTTTTTCCCAAACCTTTTACCAGGTACCCAGAGTTTGGAGAATATTGCCTATGCAGATGACACCTCCTCTAGAATTTTGAGGGAGACTCAGACCTAGGCCTCAGAACGCTCAGCACCGAAGAGGAAATAAACTTGGAAGGCATGTGTGAATGTACTACTAGAGTAGAACCAGTGTTTTCACGTACTCCAAGCATGCATGCACTTATTTGGTTTGTTACCACTTGGCTTCTCATGAGTACGTAAATACTGATGAGGATGAAGTACTGGATACAACCAAGGTACTAAGGAGTCTGAGGACTCTATCTTCTATCCTAAAATACTTGGTTCAAGGAAGGGATAACAGAGTCCAAGACCTAAATATAACAAAACGTAGCTAAGACATGACCCT